AAAATCCATTTGGATCTGGTTTTTGCTTTTTTTTTTTTTTTTCGTTTTAATTTGTACAAGCCGCACGTTTACATCCATAACTGAAAGATAAATAGATTTTTTTTTTTAGTTTATTTTTTAATGCCAAAGGCACTGCCGCATAACGCATAAGAATAATATGTAAACTACAAATAATTTTTAATAAAAATTCATCCGTTCGGCTTTCTCTGTCTATCTGTTTCCCTCACATTTCTCTCTCTCTCTCTCTCTCTCCTTCTCTCCTTCTATCTTTCTGTATATTTTTCCTCTTGTTCGCACTCGATTCCCTCTTGTTACGATATAGCAGGAAACAAATACGAATTCGTAAACTTTTACTTCCCGTAAATAACATGCATTCATATATGTACGTAAATGCATGCATACATGCATACGTATAAGTATACTTATGCATAAGAGTACATTTTAATTTTCGTATTTACATATGCATGCGTTTAAAGAATATTCGTCAGAATTTACTAGCATTACTGCTGTCCGTCAACACGACGATTATGTTGCATATGCTGGTGATGACGATGATGATGATGATGAACTGAAGCTAAAGCTGAAGTTGATGCTGATGAGAATTTACACATATTTACATTACTTACATATTATACTTGTTTGCGCACTCATTTCAAAAACCAATATTATGTTGCAGCTCATGAGGATTTTACTCTCAGAGAAATTGATGAATGACAGCAAATTAAAAGTTTATGTTAATCTTTTCTTTTCGTATGATACGAAACAGCCATCAGCAGATTTTCTCACTGGCTTATCACGTTGCATGACTTCTAAGTGGGAAAGCGTGTCAAATAAAAATTGTTAAATAAGCGCCGCTAGGCGCCTAGACGTATGAAAAAAATTTGAAATTTTCCAAAAAGTATATGAATTGAAAATCATGTGGAATTTCAATTTCGATTTCTAGTTCGTCGTAAATTTGTCCACAAATCTCTTTAGTATTTACGGGGTTATCCGTGAGCTGATTGCATTCAAGGTCATTGATTTCATATTACGGCCGAAAATGCTGCTCGATGATTGTATGTAACAAAAACAATTGAATTTAAATATTTTGATGAATCTTTGATTGTGTATATGATCGGGATTTGTTGTGGGTATTGCTTCTATCAAGTGCAAGATACTTACTCCAAACAACTATATGCAATTAACCAATTTCCTCTTCTTCTTCTTCTTCTTCTATTACAGAATTCAACGATTCAACAACAGATGATTCACTATGCTGGATACGAAAATTTCATAACAAATGCAAAATTCTTTGTATAAAACTTAAGAACAACGCTGGCGGTTAACTTGATTACAGGTATACATACATACGTAAGTATATTTTTTGCAATTTCAAAGGCATGGTTTGCCGAAACTTCTTTTTAAAGCTTTTCATTTGCCAAACTGTGATAGTAGTAAAAGCGATGCAACTTCGAACTAACTCATCATTTTGCTTTCGTTAAACTTGGTTTTCATAGTCGATATTATTTTCATTAAAGCAAAATCAAACGTCTTATACCGACAGTATATTATCGAGGGAACTGGATTATATATAACCACCTTATCAAGGCAAGGAATTTCATCTATTCTAAAGGGGTCAAGTGGGCTTACAAAAAGATAGTACCTAGAATAACCTTCAAAGCATCTAAATGACGAAAACATATATAAGACTTTGCTTTTGATGTCAAAGCAAAACTCATTCTCAAGTCCGATCTGATAATATTAAAACCTTCACATGCTATTCTTTTTTTTTTTTTTTTTTGTTTATTAATTCACTATATTTTTCTACATTAAAAAAAACCTGCAATTTTTTGTATTCATTATCAAGAAATGCGGGTATGAATATTTTCCTAGTACGCTTGCAACGACCTATAGTACGCTTGAAATATTTTGCGAAAGGCTTCCGTCTGCCACGGATTATCCAAAAGATTATGATTGCATTATTGCAAAGCCATCTACCACCATGTCCTTCTGATACCTCATTAAACAGCTTACTTGTCATCAACAGCTTTCATATATAAAATCGAAATCCGAGTATATCTTTATTTCCACAGATCGCATAGTTTAGATGAAATTCTCCTATTTTCATCGTAATCTTTTCGCAAGAATTCTGAACTTAAGTCAGAGTACGGTACGGTATTTAGTAGTCGATATACTATGCCTTTTATCGTTTTACTTGTTTTTCTTCTTCGTTAAACAGAAACAAGATAAATACTATAAAAAAAGTTGAAGGAGTTTTAGTGTATATTTCAAATGTTAATTTCCTTTTCCTAGCAACAAAACAAGAAACACAAAGCAAAAAAAACAAGAAAGAACAAAAACTTTTGACATATATATGAAAAAAGGGGAAACCGTTTGAAAGTTGAATGAAAAAAACAACTAAGAAAATTATATTCGGCCGCGATCGAATCTTTAACACCCATCACCGTTATCCGCAATATTTAATATGGAATTAACGCACTTAACTTGTCCCATTTCTGTCTTGTTTACCTTAAGAGTAGTATGCAGAAATCCCCGAAAAAGCGAAAAGACGAAAATGTAATCACTTGTAGCTTTGTGTGGCCGTAGACGATTTTTTCAATTTTTGTACAAGTGCAAGACAGGACAACCCATAGAACATAAATGTAAATTCTTATCGTTGTACCTGTCTGTTGTGGCTTATAAGTGAGGAACAAAAAAACGAAATTGTTTTTATGCTTGAAAGTAGAGATGGTATCAGATTATGTTGTGCCGCGGTCGGGTCCTTTGATCGATTTGTCCCATTTTTAATACCAACGTGCGTGCAAGAACTTCCAATGTTTACTGCAGACGTTACACAGACAAAATGACTGAGGGGCACAGGGGCATGCTTAAATCAATTTAAGATTTAATGCTGATCAAGAATATGAATGTTTTTGGTGAGGTCTCTGAGGCTTCCTTTTGGGCGCTGCAAACGTTTTGACAGAGCAAATATGCCCGTCATCCTTCGTCGATGGGTATAAAAAATTACTTTTCAATGCAATTTGACATGAGGGCAAATGATTTCACTTTAGATAAAATCGTCGGAAGAGAAAGTGAGGAAAAATGTATTTTTTATTTATAACGAATTTTTTGATACGCAGGCAGTATAGCTTACTTGTGCATGCGTTTCGTGATTACAATATATTCACTATAGGTGGGCGTGGCTGGAATAGCGATATGGTAGGATTACTTGTCTCCGTTTGTGCATACATTTGCTTAAGCGGTTGTATGTGTGACCATAAGTTATAGAATCTTCAATTTTTGATCTTTTTGTGCTTGACCGCACCTACTCTCATTATTTCAGGCGAGGTCGATGTCAACAATCAACAAAAAATTATTATTATTATGGTTTTTCCTACCACATTACTCTGGAGCTACTATACTTACTGCAGTGTATTGTGTATAGAGTGACACCCTTCTAATTATTTATATCGGATGTGGGGGTAAATTGGATTGAATTTCCTTTTTAAATGTCTCCTCGACTATCCAAAATACTGACGAGCCAAATTTGACAACAACAATTATCACTTACTGCGTATTACAATGGCGTGTTGTACAGTCGAAAGTTAAATCGGACATAGCATAGGTTGTTAAATTGTAGTTATTTGTTTTCACAGCATTACCCCAGCACCCAATCGGCCATATTTAACCCCATTTACGTGCAGCAACTTTTTATTGTTAATCAGAAAAATAATTCATTAAAAGAATTGTGAAAACGATTACGCCCACACACACATTGACTATAAAACGTTACGATAAACTAATAATGTTTCCTATAGGATTTGACATACTCAAGAAGCTCTAAAATCCTAAGCCCCTTTTTCTTTTAGGTGGAGATGGATACGATTTCATTATCGTTTGCTACGATGCCAAGCAAAACAGAAAATTAATCCAAAATTTTAAGTATAGTCCTTTGGCAATAGCCAACTAATGAAATCATAAAAATGTAATTCACATTTAAGCACTTTTCGATTCTATTGCCGCAATCAAATTAAAAATATTTCCCTTTATTCGACTAACGAATATGAGGCCACAGAGAAAAAAAAAAAAGTTACTTAAATGCATAAAACTGTCATTTTCCGGGCGTTTTTATTTTAAAATGATAAAAGCTGTTAAAAATAAATCAACGTGTCCTCGTGTCTGCTCAATGAGTCGTAAAAGCCTTCATAAACAAAACGAATTCTCAACAGGGAGAGAAGGGAAAAACAAAAACAAAAACGGCCAGAAATAAATTAAAACAAAAACTTTATGTAGGAAACCTTTAAAAAAATAATTCAAATCTTTTACGAAACAAACAAAAAAAAAAAAACAGAAAAGAACAAAGCAAATCTATGCGCGGGCACAGGAAGACATTTCACTATGACAATAACAATTAACATAACAATCGCGCTTTGTAAGGAGAAACAACACAACTCGATTAGTATTAATGAAGAAGAAGAAATGAAGGCTAAGATGATAGATAATAATCCAAGAATAGAAGAGCACTGCGACGCAATAAAAAAAAAAAAAAAAATGACTATTTTTACGCTTATGATTATGACACGTAAAACTCAAAGATATTAAATAATTCCTGAATGGCTTGAATTGCATTGCTTAATAAACTTTAGATATTAAAAGTTATTGGGCATAATGTCGAGGGGGACTTAGTTCAACTTTCAACTAATAAAAACTATTTTAGAAAATTTAGAAATCAAATCAACGAAAGACATAAACAAATTTACGCTTTAGCAGATCATCATTTGTTTCTTCTTCTTTTCATTTTACATGCATGGCAGGATCTTGTCTGTTTTTTAATATAATTTTCCGATTTTTTTTTTTTTTTTCTTGAAAGAAGAAAGAAGTTTTCAATAGGGCCGTAAAGCTAATCGTTAACGATAATCGTTAATAATATCGGCAACTCTGACGGTGACAGAGAATATTTGAATTCGTTTTCGCTAAAATTTCTTTAAATATTGAAAAGCTTTTAAAGTTTGAAAAAAAAAATGGCAGGTTATGACCGCGCTGTGACAATTTTTTCACCCGACGGTCACCTATTGCAAGTGGAATTCGCTAAGGAAGCTGTTCATAAAGGGGCAGCAGCATTGGGCATTCGAGGTCAAAATTGTATCATACTAGCCGTTGAGAAGCGTTCGATATCCTCGCTACAAGAGGAACGTACTATTCGCAAAATTTGTGCCTTAGACGATCACATTGTCATGACTTTTGCTGGCGTCACCGCAGACGGACGAGTGTTAGTCAATCGCGCTCAAGTCGAATGCCAAAGTTATAGATTAAATGTCGAGGATCCCGTTACTTTGGAATATATTTCACGATACATTGCTCAGTTGAAACAAAAGTATACCCAAAGCAATGGACGCCGTCCGTTTGGTCTGTCTTGCTTAATCGGTGGTTTCGATTATGATGGCGGCGCGCACTTGTATCAAACTGAACCCTCTGGCATTTACCATGAATGGAAAGCAAACGCTATCGGACAATCGTCTACTATGATACGCGAATTCTTAGAACAGAACTATACAGATGAAGTGGCCGGAAGTGTGGCGGGTCTTATTACCTTGGCGATTAAAGCGTTACTTTTGGTCATCCAAAGTGGACCGAAAAATTTGGAAATCGCTATTTTGGAAAGGGGCAAGCCGTTGAGAATGCTTGATGCTCAAACGATCGCCCAATACGTGGCCGACATCGAGAAAGGAAAACAAGAAGCCGAGAAGAAAAAGCAGAGAAAGTAACATAAAACCGATTTTACCAGAGATCCGATTAACTATCTGCGTTAAAAAAGAACAATTCCTCTTTTACTAGTTACATAACTCATATCCCAATTGCATCTGTGAGCAGAACAAAATGCTATTATTTTTAGAGATAAACTATGTATTATAAGCATCTCTGGACAAAAGCTGAGAATTATTTTTGTAATCGTTGAGCCTATCTTGATAAATGATTCGAATGAAAATACGGTTTAGAGCAAACTGATAGCAACCATAAGTCACGAAATGCAGGCCTGACGTGAAGGTGGTTAGTTCGCGTTATTCCGAGAGATGAATATCCAAATTTTAGCCTTCCACTAATATCAAACGAGTTCAGAAATCATTTTAACTGATTTTCATTTGATGAAAACAAGTGAACAAAACGTTGCAGATTTTTTTCAGAGCATTGTTATAAAGCCTTGTTTATCTATATATTATGTTGTATCACAGCAAATTTGCCTTCGTCATCACCAGATTCCCTTCGGTCACGATAAGTTTACAAGAACTAACGGTATTTTGCGAGCATTGAGTTTATCTGACAAAGGAGCTACGTAAAGTTATAATATTTGAAAACCGAATTTTCATGAACACCAGTCCGTCTTCCATTCTCTACTTGTAATCTTTTCCTTTCCTGGTGTAGACATCTCCCCATTGTTATCAAGAAAGCAAACCAGAGATCAATGTGTAGACCTCACTATATCCCGTGTCGTGTTCTCTGAAATGCAACAAATTAAGCGAGTTGTGGCTGCAAGCGATTTGTTGTAACTGTAACCTAAGCTTATGAATATGCAAGATTTGCTTACATGCTATAAAACATGAAGCGCTGAGAGTGAAGCTGAGGTAATTTATGCATCGCTTCAGGATCGCTTGAGATTGCAAAATCAATATTCCGCCGCCCATTTATTCACAGGCGATGGCAAAAGGATCGCATTACCGAAAGCTAATCTGTATCGGCGAGTCTTTAATGAAAAAGATTCATATATTTTAGGATGCAAACATTCAAACGTTCAAAAGGCATAAAAACGAAAATGTCCAATTTCGTGTTCTCACACCCCCATGCAACCATTGCAACCCATTTTTATAGTCATCATGATTACGGTATCATTTCATTATGATGATGAAACTACTTAAAAACTCTTTAAATTGACATTAAATAAAAGAAGAAAGGACGACTGCAAATAAAAGAGAAATGACTTGAATTTCTGCTTAAAATATATTTATTTTAATATATTCGCACATCTATCATAATACCCTAATGATTCATTCACTTCCCACCTCAGCGCAAACTGTATACGAGACGTTACATATTTATTTATTTTCTTTTTTTTTTCCTTTTTTTTTTTTTGCCTCTTTTTTTGTTTCTTTTTAATGTTGTACCGAAAAATTTGAAAGTTATATACCGGTTAAAATGTGTTTGTTTACTTTCTCGTATTCCTGACTTTTTTTCTTCAATTTTTTCGCTTAGCTAGCTATCAGCTTATGTCAGGTTTAAATGTGAAAACATTTACAGACAGTTGTCACGTTTTTTAACTGTCATAAAAACGAGATTGATTTTGTGTTTCTTGGCAAAACACGAACATAGAACAACAATGAGCTCTAATAAGACGCACAAAAACGAGATATATCAAGCACACGATGGATTTTGCATACCTATCATCTTAGATCAAATAATATTTATATCGTATAAGGCGTAATGAATATAGTTTATATCGTAAAAGATATCGTCTGCTCTGAAAATAAATATCAATTCTATATAATATTCTAATAATTAGAAGCTTGGTTTGTGAAACGGTTCCGCAAAACGGAGCATACTTTAGCAAAATTTAGCGCAGCGCACTCTCCTATGTCACAAATCGGAAACAAATCACTAATAACTTTTGTAATAGAATTCCAAAAGTTAGATTTGGTTGCCATGTACAGCCAGCTTATGTTATTGGGATAAGATTACCGTGGGAGGGTGTGCAAGGAACAATAATCTATTCAAAATTTCTACCTTTACTTAGCATGCACGAAGGTAATGATATGCTGGAATCCTTTTTTAACTAGAGCGACTAAAAAACCCTAATTTCCTTTTATATCATATATGGAGAAAGGTGGATAGTAAAAAAGGTCCGACTCAAATTATTTTCAATAAAGTTCGACTTTGAGCTCAAACATATTTTTCTTGATCTGATTATCCGATATTGGATGTTAGCAACCATACGAATTGCTATTTTATTTAAAAGCTTAAAATTATTTATGTGATGCATATTTAAACATATACAAGAGCACGTGTAAGTATATCAAATTATTTTATATTCGGCTCGTATCTCTTGCAGCTATTAGCAAATGTCCTGCACTGCTTATGCCCATCCATTGATAAATATTGCGAAGCCAAGATGCCTGCTTTCTGTATACACCGCGATTTTCTTCAATTTTCTCTAGTAGTATGAGCTACAGCAAATAGTGTTTTTTTTTTTTTTGATTTCGCATTATGTGACCCCAATATGATACTTTCGTGCATACTAAACTTGTCTTTAGTCCACGATCATTGCCGAGTTTTTGAAGTATTTACTCAATTGTTGTCTGTAGGCTGTTCATGTCAGCCATTTTTAACATTCATGTCTCCATTGCGCAGAGAAAAACGGCCCAAAAGTAATATTTTAGAAACCGGAGCATAAGATTAATACTGAGATCGCGGATGCTAAGGACTTTCATATATTTATGAAATGCAAATGTTTCGTTAATTCATTAACCAAGATATCCATTAGCATCTTATGCCCAGTTATAATTGTGTTGTGTTGGACGTGTTTTTTTGCTAATGATCTTAACCTTTATTTGAAGTTCGTATGCATTACGGATGGAGAATGTAAACTTAAACAAGGCAACCTCAAGATTTAACATAAAAAAATACGATGGCAAAGTAACGGACAGACATGTTTCAATCGATTTAGAAAATAACTCTGTTCGGTTGATGTAACAAAAATTGCGTCCATCCCGGGTCCTGTTGAACACGACGTACATACACTTGTATTTATGTTTAACTTAAAATCGCTTTTATTCCCTTTCAAAGTGTAAGCTCCAACAATCGTAACATTTTTATATATTATACATATGTATATATTTTTTATATATTATATACATATATATATATATTTTTTTTTATTGTATGACCAATCACTTAAGGGATGTCCTCTATTCGCGTAACACGGTGACGGTCGGAACGTAGTGAGGACAGGAAAAGGGATAGGGATGTTGACGAAATTCATTTTTCTAGAGTTCTTTCAAAACTGAACAATTTTGTATGCTCTTGCAGCATTTTCATCAAATTAACTCTCTGCGTGCAAGCACATGTGAAAGCTTTACTTGCTTGCACCGATATACGGGAGCGGAAAATGAATATATCGCCACGTTCTCCTTTTGAATAGAGAACTTTCTACGATCCTTTAAGCCGACTTTTATTAAAAATATCCTTTTTTCGAAAAAAAAAAATAAAAAAACAAAAAAAACAAAAGAATGCCTTATTTAACAAGTTATACCCAATCGAACGTTACTTCATTCTTACCTATTATTCTTTACTACTCACCGCATCACTAATTCTAAGGCTTTCGTTCTTTTATCGCAAGTTTCCAAAACTCTGCTTCGTATCCGTATGTATGATAAGATTTACGAATTTTGTTTTTGTTTTTTAACTTTCCGTCAAAGATTAATTGAATTTTTTCGTAAATTGAATTTGCTGTAAACAACTAAGCAAAAAATAAATAAATAAATAAATAAATAAAAAAAAAGTTGAAGAACACGCTTAATCATGTTACGAGGCTTGCGTATCTAGAAGAAACAATTTAACGTTAAAATTTAATTTAACCATTACTTGCAACAATGAACACGTATATGCGTGTATGCGTCTCTTTACGAGAAAACGGAACACTCCACGTGATGGCAAAAATATAAATAAAAATTCATTTTCTTACCTACTTATGTTATAAAGAAGCACACAACGTATTGAACCGTAGAACGAACATAAACAACAAGAAATCGAGCATCATTCGCATATACAATCTACTCCCGGCCCGGCCCACAGTATACCACATGTATATTACAGAAAAAGACGACTTCTCTCTATAAATTCATCTTTGTGTGTAGCTCGCCGTTATTGTAAGTGGTTTTTTTTTTTAAACTTAACATTATTTCGAGTAAAGTTTGCACAAAACACAAATCACTGCTATATTCACTTTTGCTGTTTTTCTTTGTTTTTTTTTTTTTTTGTTTTAGGTAAGACAGACCGAACGGCAGACAGACATTGCTGGTGTTTAACATGACAACGATACTTTTCCTTCTCTTCTCTGTTTTGTTTTTTTTTTTTTTGGAAAAAACATGAAACTTTTAGAAAACTCTTTTTTTGTTGCTTTAAATGAGTTAAATACTTTTCAGTTTAAATTTATCGCAAAAAATTTGTTCTCTCTCTTAATGCTGAAAGAGTATTAAAAATTATTTCATCAAAAGCTTATCTTACACATTTAATCCTCTATATGAGATTTAAAATTCGAGTTTAATCTGAATTTGAAAATTTCAACGAAATCAAAGAAACGAATGCGAACGTCGCCCTTAGGCGCCTCTTTTTCCAATAAACAAACTTGACGGACGACTTAAGACCACCTGAAGGCCTATGCCAGGATTGCAAATATTCCGAGAACACAAGAACGAGTAAAGAGACATAGCTAGCGTCACCATCGCGCATCGCTTCCTCCTAAGAGGATGAAAAGTCGAAACCAATTTAGATGATGTCTGAGGACTGAAAGTGATTCCGTACGTAAAGCAAACTATCTCATATACAGTAGCATAGATTAGCATAAAGTTAGCTGTAAATAGGAAAAAACTCCTACCTAGATTAGGCAGGAAAGTTTCAAAGCCTATTCAAAGCCTAGGATATAAATTTCGATTAAGAATTCAACCAACCGGCAACGTCGGTCTTCAGAAAATCAGGCAACCGAGCCAGTAACCGATTGCCCCTTTCT